GGGATATTTGTGTAGCTCAAGGCACTGAGTTGGTGGTATTGTTACAGAAGGCACAGGAAACCACTACACCATCTAACCTGCGAGAATCGAACACTAGTTCATCCATTTCCTGCAGCTGATGTTAACCTCTTCCTCCTTCAGGTTTCTCTTACAGCATTTATTTATAGCATTTATTTACTTGGTGGGACAGTGTAGGTACATGTTCACTTTCTCGTTTTTAGATGTAGGAGATAGAAATCCAATTAAAACTGGAAGCAAAAAGAGAATTATCGAGTCATGTAAATTGAAAAGTCCAGGGGTAGAGAGCTTCAGGAAAACTCAGATCCAAAACTCCTGCTTTCTTCTGTGATGGCTTTACTCCCAGGCAGTCTTTTCTTTGACAGGGTCAGTAGTACCCACCAGAAGCTCTAGATTAATATGTTACCTATTTAGCAATTGCTGCAGAAATACTGATTCACTTTCAATGTTTCAACACAAGTTTCAGGACTGAAACTTGGTGGCCTGGTCTGGGGCACCACTAACAAATTCCTGTGGTTAGTGGAGTGGAATTGGCTAGTAGGCCAGGTGTGTGTCAGTGTTAGGGGTGACCAACTCACTCCAACTTGCTTGTTACTTTTCTGATTTTAGTATTCAGTCTCATGCTCCTGGAATCTCTCAGTTCAGGGCAAACCAGGACAGCTGGTCACCCTCGGGGTTCGCCCTGGAGATGAGGGGAGTTATGGTCAGCCACATAAGAGCCCCCAGACTACAAGTACAGGTGGGTGGTTTCCCGGAGGAAGCAGCTAAAGAAAAATGAATGAATGCTGGGCAAAGCAACAGAATGATGTCGTTTCCATTTGCCTTTCTAGATTAGAGGCACCTTGAGGGCAGGGACTGAAACTTATTTTTGTATCTTTTTGTAAATCTGAGCATATTGTCTTCCTCCAACATAGGAAAGCCTCAAAAGAAGGTAACTATTTTTTTTTACGACTTAAATAAATATTTGAAAACATTCCCTTAGAGTGAAGAATGTCTAATGCTGAATAGTTCATAGTGAACTGTACAGGATCATTTTTATCAGGAGTACTTTAAAATAGTCGCAATGCTACTGACAGATTACTCAGATGCAGTCTTGCTAAAAATGGGTTAAGCAGAGAATATTAGTGTAAAAAAGACTTCCAAAATCACTAGAGTACTATGATTCAAAAGGTCCCTTTCCCCGCTTATATTTAAGATAAAAGCAATATTCTTTTCTTTATATTAACATCTACTGTACATTAAAAAGTTAACATTAAAATGCTCTCCTAGAGATTTGGAATTCAATTCTGTGGTTTCAGTTTTGTTGTTTAATTAGAGCTGAACGGTAGACAGAAATTGTTTGTCTATGGGCAGGGCGTGGCTTTGGCTCAAAACTTTTTTCCTGCAACTTCTAACTTTTGACTTACTCCTGGTTTCAATGAGTCATGCACTGAAATGAAAGAGCTATTCTTTAATTTTGAAGTAGAATTGGATTTTTAAAATATTTTATGTTAATGAATAAATGCTACCTCTCAAGTCTAGTTCATAGGAGAAAAAAGAAACTAACTCTGACATGCCGTTTCCAAACCTGACATTGCCTGTAGAAGCAGACAAGTTATAGTTTTGGGGAATTTAGCCAAGTAAGTTCTCTCTGGGACATTGTTCAATATCTAACACAAAGTGGCTGTAAAGGCTCTTCATATTTATGTAAGATGTATATAAAATTCTTTATTCAAAAGCTGAGCCAAAGGAACATTATAAATGTTACTATTTTTTCTTCCTAAGCGAAACAATATTTGTGTCTAAAATTCACATTGGAAATGAAGAATTTACATTATAGTTATTTATTTTTATTTACTTTAAATTTACTTTAATTAAAATTTTCTTAATTAGTTGATTTTTTTTAGAGAAATTTTTTGCTGTAGGGCACATGAACTTGCCAGAAAAAGAGAGATAGAGAGACAGAAAGTGAGAAATCACCCCTCTGGGGGACGACCGAACCACAGTCCCTTCTCCTCCATCCTCCTCTCAGGATTTTGGGCATGCATGCACACACACTTGGTGTGAGTTTTAAGCCGCCGGGTCCAGCACTTGAACTGCGGTCAGCTATGTGGGAGTCCAGCGACACAGTCATTACACCATATGCTGGCCCCTTTATTTAATTGTGTTTTTATTATTCTCAGAGGGTCTGTGTGCACACCAAGAGAAAAACAGAGAAAGGACCCCCTAATGAGGTATAGTCATTCCATAATCATGTTTTCCTCTTATTTTTTGTACCATTGGGGTTTGGGACAGGCAAGTACACACACACACACACACACACACACACACACACACACACACACATACCCACACAGTATGTTTTTCAAGCTGCCAGGGCTGTTGAACTGCAGTTGGGGATGCAGGATGGGATCTGGCTTAACCACATGCACCATAAGGCTGGCCCATGATTCATTTTATTATCTTTTACCAAATTGCTAGAAAAAAAAGTATAGTGGACTTTCTGGTGGTTTTCCCAGTACCCACTCCACTGCTGTCCAAATGAGAAAAAAACATAGTTTGGGAAGGAGACCTCAGCTCAAGGTGTGGATTAAATTGTTCTACTGGTAATTCTACATTCTTTGTTAGTTTAGATTTGGGCATGTGATACACTCTAGCCAAAGTGATCAAAGGATACGGATGCTAGAGCTTTCAGATAGAGAGGGAAAAACAGACAAACACACAAAAACCTTGAGAACCATTTCTATTTCCCAGTGGAAGTGAAAAATTAATCATGTTTCCTGTTGTGGTAACTTTTATAGCTAAAGGAACCAGAAGGCAACTCTGTTAATCGCCGAGTGGACAGTCTGAAAGAATCTAGCACAATAACATTGTTGAATTGCTAATCCAGAACAGTTTTGAAAGTTTGCCCAATGTCTGGACTTCTTGTTCCATACGGTGATAAGCATCATTATTTAAGTCTGTTTGAAACAGGATTTGAGTAATGGTTGAAATAGTAAATATATGGGGACCAGCAGTTAGCGTAATGGCTATGTCTCTGGACTCCCGTGTAGTTGAACGTGGTTTGAATCCCGGACCTGGTGGCTTAAACTCACACGGGGCGCGTGTGCATGTGTGCCCAAGATCCCAAGAGGAGAATGGTGGATAAGGGATTGCAGCATGGCCATCCCCCATGGGGTATGATTTCTTGCTTCCTGTCTCTCTGTCTTTCTGGCATGTGCGCATACCCTATAGCAAACACCTCTCTAAAAAAAAAAAAAAAAAAAAAAAAGTAAATATATGGAAGATAACAGAATTTCGTGCCAAAAAGTCTTTCTGTCTCATTTTGTCCCTCTGTTTTTGACCACTTTACAGAGGAAGAGAAGAGACTGAATGGGACTCCCTGATCTGAGTCTCAAACAATGAATAAATGGGCCTTTCTCTCCCGATGCCCATCCAGCTGCTGTATTCACTACACAGTTGAATACATGGCACTCAATTTTTCCTACTCTTGAGCAATCGTGCACCTAACAAACAGGATATGCATAATCATATCTCTCAAATGCCAGAAAATTGAAGTTCTCTAAATTAGATATTGCATAAATTTCCCTGGATCTCAGCCCTTCCCTGACCAATATCAAAATTGGGGAACACTTGAAATCTGGTCATAATAACAATAATCACTAACACCATGTGTCAGATACTGTGCTGAGTACTCGACTTACTTTATCTCAAATACTCAATGATAACCCAAAGAGGCTGGTACTGTGACAGGACTCATTTTGCTGATGAGGAAATGAATGTTCAAACAGGTTGAGACACTGGCTCAAGATTGCTTAGCTAATGCGTGGCAGAGTGAGTATTCAAGCTCAAACCTGACAGATTGTCCCTACAATGAACATGACCTTTACTATCCCTTCCAGCAATGACAGTCCATGGATATAAGATGCCCAAATTCATCAACGTATAGCCAGTCCTGAGGCTTGAAACCGGAGTTCACTTGAGGCACAGATTACTAATCAACAGAATACATCTAGCTTCCAATCATCTCCTCAGCCTGCTTCCACTCTTGATAAGGGCTATGGCTCTAAAACTCAGACCAATGGGTGGGACTCAGACCTTGGTACTAGGGTCCACTACTGTAAATTATTAATCCAGAAACTGGAGCCACCTGATGGTGTGGTGGTTAAGGTGGCTAGATCCCATGTGGCTGGCTGCCTGGTTCAAGTCCCTGACCTGGTGGCTTAAGAAATACACCAGGTACAAGCTTGCCCAAAATTTCCAAAGGAGGAAGAAATGGAGGTAAAGGGACTGTGGTGTGAACATCACCATGAGGTTAGGACGTGCTTTCTCATTCTCTTTCTTTCTCTGTTTCTGGTAAGCACAATTCAATAATGGTTTAGTGAGTACTCCTCTTTTGCCAGATACCGAGAAAAAGAGATACTACCTTTTCTTTGCCAAATGTGCCTGAGCAACCCCAAATCTACTTGTGTTTGGTAATTTCTCTTTCTGCTAGTCAGTGTTATTCTCCTGTTTGTCTAATCTTTTAATTAAAGGCAGGAGCTCAATTTCACATACCCACCTGTCAAAAGAAGCATCAAGGGGCCAGCAGGTGGTGTGATGGTTAAGGGCGCTGGACTTCTACATGGCTGACGACGGCTCGAGTCCTGGACCTGGCTGGCCACTTGCTCTCCCTTTCTCTCTCACGCGCTTGCTCTGTCACTCTATCCCTCTCTGGTCAAATTTAAATAAATAAAGTTGAATAAAATAATTCTTTTTTTTTTTTTAAAATGAAGTGTCCATTTCTCAGCTGGAACCCATTATTAGTTCCCTGCTACAAGGACTGCTTCTTCTAACTTTACATGTAAACGGTTTAGTATCCAACTTCACAAGTTAAGGTGCTCACTTCTCTAATGAGACAGACACTGCTGTGGTAGAACCACGTAATTTATTGGCACTTGCTGATGCTTCTCTAGACTTGACCCTGATGCATGCGAAGCAGTTTCCCCCCCATGATCACCTACTCTGCCAGATGCTCATTAACTTGGGACGAACTGGGAGTGGCTGTAGCTTGTGCCCTTGCCAATTGCCAGGGTCCTTTCCACGACCAGCTGGGTTTCGGCTCTCACGAAGGGCACCCAGATCTAGGAGAATAAGAAAAGGGAGCGGTGGGGGAGAGGAACAACCTCTTCCAGGTCCCTTCGACCTTACCAAGGCACCTGTCGCGAGCTGGTACTGAGTCTAACCAATCGGAAAGAGAGTTACATTTAACGCTGGCACCGGCCTCCAATCCAAGGACCTGTCTCAGACTCCGCCATCCGGTCCAGCCCCAGCCCACTCAAAGCTGGTTCCGAAGTCAAACGCCCGGCGGCCGCGCACACTCGGAGCGCCTCTGGCAGCGCCGATCAGTGCCACCACTGGAACTGTTAACGGCAGTACGGGCGCCGCTTCTGCGCAGGCGCCTCAGGAAGAGCTCGGCCTCGCCCTTGGGGCTCCAGGTCCCCCTCGCCCCCAAGGACCCACGAGTGCTGGGTTCCGCGAGCACTGAGTTCCGCGCGTTGCGAGGAAGTGGTGACGGGTGAGTCCGATCCCCGTGCGCAGGCGGCATTTGGGATGGAAATGCCACTTCTCCCCAGGCTTTGACAATAACGATGGTGAGGCCCGTCCTCCCTCCCCAACTGCACACACATTCCCTGGGGCGCTGGCAGGGACGTCCGCGGAGGGACTGGCGGAGCCTGGCAGGTGTGGGCAACGGAGAGGTGGAGGGCCCGGAGGTCACGGACGGAAGAGGGGGGAAATTTAGCAAGTGGGCGCGCAGCTGGGGAGGTCAGCTGGTGTTCGGAGAAGGAAGGGAGCGGAGTTGGCCGAAGGGCAGAGCTGGGAGTAAAAGTGGGCCGGAGATGAAAATGACTAGAGACGAGTGGGGTAGCCCGAGCTTGGCGTTTGACTTGAAAGGAACACTCTCCAAAGCTTCAACATCCATCTCTCCAAATGCTAGCCCCAACTTCGTTTGTTGTAGGATTATATAATGTCATGAAAAACCCATTTCCTAGAAAACAAGCAAACCAAACAGTAAAAGATAACACTGTTGAAGTGCTTTTCATGGGCCAGATACTGTCCTATGGTATAATAGCGTCCTATTTTAAGGATGAGGGAAGTCAGGCCCAGAGCAGTGAAGTAACTTGTCCAAGATTGTCCGGCTGGAGACGCAGTTAGGTGTATACCAGGGCTGACTTGAGAAGGGCTTGTGTAACCATCAAGCGATCTGGTGGATTAAGTCTGAAGACTAGTTTCCATCTGTTTTTAAGGAAAGAGCCTGTACTTCCCTGCCCCTCCTCTTCTCTGTACTCTTGCATTTACATTAGGGTGAAAATACATGGAGTTGGTGGAGAGGGGGACTGTATTTTATTATGTAGGAAATAAATAAGTGTAACTGTTTTGAAGTTGCTAGAAAACTCTGTGTATGCTAGAAAATTGGAAGAGTAATTTATAATCATCATAGTAAGAAAGTCTTTTAGGAATTAGGTGTTTTTTTTTGTTTTTTTGTTTTTTAGACTATTAGGGAGGTGATAATAATCTAAAGGTAACTACTTAAATGATCTATGTGCATAATCAATAACACTATTTTAAAGCTGTACAAAAGTTTCATTGTATTACACAGCCGATGGCATATTAATGATGACAAGTAGCTTTCTCAATATTCTGTGCCTGTTGTACTCTCCCAACTTCATGTGAGCTAATGCTAGTGAGAGTTGACAGGTAAGCATTCCATCCAGGCAAGTCAATCCAGAGGAAGTAAAGGGGGTTTTGTCCCTTGAATCAAAGACGGCCTCATACTTCCTGTTGCTATTGGGGTATTTGGATGTATCCAGATGGGCTTGCCTTTTTTATTTCTTTGATATTTTTGGTGTGAAAATTTTCAGAATTTCTCCTGATATTTTGTGTTATAACAATTTTATTCCTTGAAAGCTTGATTTTCACTCCTTGAAAACTGCCTGAGAACTTCTCACTTGTTTGTTTATAGGTCAACATTTCCCATTAGAATTAAACAGAATGTAGTAAACATCAATCCAGGTATTGCTAACAAAAAATGTTCTAATAGGAAAAGTTCAGTTGATAGTTCGGAGATTATTACCAGATTTGCTAACTTGCTACTCCTAGATTTGTTAACTAAGGACTTGAGTTCAGTAAGAGCATAATAAAGATACTCAGTAATTACTTTTTGAATCCAGCCTATCCTGGAATTCAGCTTCATTATAGTTTTATCAAAGAGACGAGGCTACATTTTTCCTAATTTATAGTTTCACAGTAATAATAATTCTGCCTGCCAATTGTTATGCCTAACATAACAATGTTTTAACTAGAATGGGTAAAGGCAAACTCATTTTGAGGGCCTATTCTGTAACCTTTATACATCGCTTTATAGGGTATCTACTGGAACTATAGGGTCTGACTCCCAAGACACTGCATTTAACCATGTTTAGGGGCCAGCTTAAACATCCTTTTTATACATGTTTAAGGGGCGAACCGCGGTGGACTACGTGGGAGTCCAGCGACATAGCCATTACGCCAACTGCTGGTTCCTGTACATGTTTAAGGGAGAGGTAGATTTTTTATTTGTATTTTGTGGGAAAGGGGGAGGCCTGGTTTTCTGTTACTTTGTGTATGGAAAGTGCATAAAGCATTTTCATTTAAAGACACTCAAATCTGTCTTCTGGAGTGCAAAATTCACATAATTTTTGAGGTAAAATGAGATATCAAAGATGTTTCCTGTTTTGTGGTAAAGCATTTAAAATTACAATTTCACTTCCCTCTCTCTTTTTTTTTTTTTAAGGTTTTTGCCATAGGACACATGTACTCTCTGGAGAGGCTAGAGACAGAGAGAGACAGTGAGAGGGAAAGTGAAAAATTATGCCTCAGGGTGGATGGTCATGCCACAACCTCCTCTCCTCTATTCTCCTGGGATTTTAGGAACACAAGCAATTGTGCTTGGCATAATTTTCAAACCACTGGGTCTGGGACTTGAACTGCAGGCAGCCATGTGGGAGTCCAGAGTTGTAACCACTATGTCACCTGCTGGTCCTCCTCTGATCATTTTTTTAATAAGTTTTTTATTGAGATATAATTCATATACTTTTCATTTTACTCATTTAAAGTATACAGGTTTATGGATCTGTTGAACCATTATCACAGTCAACCTAAAAACACTTTCATTACTCCAGAAAGAAAATTTATACCCATTGGTATTTATTCTCCATTTTTCTATAACTCCTAGACCTAAGCAACTACTACTACTAATTTTCTATCTCTATAGATTTGCCTTTTCTAGGCATGTCACCTTAATGGAATCTTATGATATGAGGCCTTCCAGTCTGCCTTCTTTTTCTTAGTATAATATTTTCAAGGATTATCCTGGTTGTAGAATGTATCAGTACTTCATTCCTTTTCGTTACTGAATAATATTCCATTATATGGATATGGCATATTTTATTTATCCATTTATTAGTTGATGGACATGTGAGTAGTTTCCACTTCTTGACTCTTATGAATAATGCTGCTGTGAATATTTTTGTACAAGCTTTCACAGTGGAAATATGTTTTCATTTCTTTCGGACACAAACCTAGTAGTAGAATTGTTCATATGATATCTCCTTGTTCAATCTTTTGAAAAACTGCTGAAATGTTTTCCACAGTGGCTGCACCATTTTTCATTCCCACTTGTAGATTATAAACATTCTGATTTTTCTGTATACTTGCCAATACTTGTTATTATCTGTCTTTTTGATTTAACTATCCTAGTGGATAGATATTAAGAGAGTGTCACGAACAGAGCCATTATGATTTTTGCTTACATTTCCCTGATGACTAATGATGTTGCACATCTTTTCATGTGCTGATTTGTCATCTGCATTGTCTTTGGAGAAATGACTTTTAAGATCCTTTGCTTATTTTATAGTTGATTATTTGACTTTTTATTATTGCGATATAACAGTTCTTTATATATCCTAGATAAAAATCTCTTATTAGATATATTATCTGTTAATATTTTCTGCCAGACCTGTGTGCCCCAAGTGCTGATGGCATGGAGAAATGGAGGAAAAGAGGCTGCAGCGTGACCATGCCCTATGGAGCAGGGGGTGGGTGCTTCTTCTCTCTGTCTCTCTTTGTCTGTCTCTCCCTCTGGTGAGCACACACATCCTCTGGCAATAAAAGATAATAATAATTAAATATAGGTTCCTGGCCCAGCTGCCCTAACACAATGTTGTTCAAGGCTGGAAACCGTGTAGAACATTGGGGTTCAATTCCAAACCACCCTGTACACACCAGCTGTGAATTTACTGATGGTCCTGGCTGACTGAAAGGCTGAGGGGATTGGAGATACTGTAGTGTGAGACGCTCTTGAGGGGATTTGTCTTCCCCTCTTTCTGTCTGTCTCTCTCTGTGTTTTTCTCTTGTCTCTATTTCATGAAATAAGTAAACAAAACTTTTTAAAAAATGCAAGTTCCTGGGAACCAGCAGTTAGCGTAATGGCTATGTCGCTGGACTCCCACGTAGTCGACCGCGGTTCGCGTCCCGGACCGGTGGCTTAAATCTCACGCCGGGCGCATGTGCGTGCGTGCCCAAGATCCCGAGAGGAGAATGGAGGAGAAGGGATTGCGGCATGACCATCCCCCCTGGGGGGTGATTTCTCGCTTTCTGTCTCTATGTCTCTCTCTGTCTGTCTGGCGAGCGCACGCGCCCTATAGCGAAAATCTCTCTCTCAAGAAAAAATGCAAGTTCCTGTCTTCTACTCTGTAATAACTGAACCAGAATATTCTAAGTGTAGAAACTGCTTAGCTCCACTTTTGACAAGCTCTTGTCAGTGATCCTTACATATACTGTGGTATATAGATGATATGATGGTAGAATTGAGTAGGATGGCAACTAATGGTATTCTCGGGAGAGCTCTGTGTGTCTGGAATAACATTAAAGCCTTTTTAAAGGATTAGGAAACCAAAGACATGAGAAAGACTTGGAGGTGTAGAGAATACATTGTCTGTTATATGAAAGATATGACAAGATAGCAGAATAGCTTGTGTAGTGGGATTGGTTGGGAATGTAGGATGGTTATGCAGGAAAAGAACCAGGGTGGTAAATAAAGGGTGCTTTTCTTTTTTTTCTAATTTATTTATTTGCATTCATTCACTGTACATCATTACAGCATACAAAATGAGATTTTCCATCCAGAGTATACTGTATATTGTCTCAATCGAGCACATCAAAAAACTTGTTATTGTCAGCAAATGATCTTCCATTTCTTGTTTTCTGTATGTTTTGCTTTTTTCCCTCCATCCTTGGTTCTCTATCTCTTACCCTCTGCCACCTCCCGCTCTCCTCCCACACTGTCTCTGGTATCTATGTTTGCTTTCTATACCGTTTTCCCCCCACATTTTATTGAATCACCAAAGACCCTAATCAATCCAAATACCCTCATAGCAAACACAGGTGACACACACATTTCCATGAGCACAAGTCTAACTTTACGCATCCTATAAAGTAGCACCTAGCTGGGGCTACATATCCTACTGCAGTCATTGA